TATTAGACTGCAAAAGGTAATGAAATTAAACTTGGAATAAGATTTCTATATTTAGGGATAAAATCAACATTGAAATTTTCAATTCAACAATATTTATTTGACTTTGAAAAGAAGTGAAAAGCTAAAAGAAACGCTTCATTGTTATGTTCCTTTTGAATTTTGTTTCAGTGACGCCATTTTCTGCAGTATAACGAGCAAAGTAACAAAGGGAAAACTGTACATAACGATTGTTCTTACATTGAAATGTTTTGTCTTATATGCGTTCTTTAAATGTTAACTAATGTTTACCTATGTTTGTTTGATAAATTTATACATCAAAATGACATGTCCTGATTGAGTGACAGTCTTTTTTTTTTTTTTTTTTTTACAACACAGGGGGCAAACGAGCATGCGGCTCACCTGATGGTAAGTGACTACCGCCGCCCATGATCACCCACAACACCTACGGCATTGCAGGTGTGCTGCCGGCCTTTTAAAAAGGAATATGCTCTTTTCTTGAAGGTTATGTTGTCGTATCGGTTCGGAAATACTGCTGCTGGAAGTTGATTCCAAAGAGTGGTTGTGCGTGGGAGAAAGTGCCTTGAAAAACGCACGGTGGAGGACCGCCACTTGTCCAGATGGTTGGGATGAAATTTTAGTTTATGGCGGGTTGTACGATGGTGAAAATCTGCAGCAGGTATCAATCCGAACAATTCTTCAGAACACTCCCCATGATAAATTCGGTAGAAAATGCACAGAGATGCAACATCTCTACGCAGTTCCAGTGGGTCGAGCCGGATAGTAAGACGCCGATCTGACTGACACACACACACACACACACACACACACACACACACATACACACACACACACACACACACACACACACACACATATAGCCTAAACTACAGTAATTTAAAGCTTGAAATTTTGAATGTAAGTTTTTTGGTATATCTATTTAACATTGAAGGACATACTAAACTGTCCACAGGCAAGGGAGTAGCAGTATTCGAACAAGTGAAGCCGCGATACATAGCTACTCTCAATTAATATAAAAGGGTAAAGAATTGGTTTTTTGTTTGGATTTCAGTTGGAGTTCAATTTATTTCAATAATCCTTACACCTAAAAACTATATTATTAGCAAGTAATTAAGCAAGTAATTTGGGTTAGTATAAATTAGCCAGGTTGTCTGTAAGAGATTGCTTTTAGCGATAAGGCCGCCTTTTGTATATGCACATTCTGTATAAATACTCCTTGTATATATCTCTACTGTGCGCAATAAAGAGTTTATTATTATTATTATTATTGTGGGCTGTGTTTTTTTATAAACAATCGTGCAAAGCCAGGGCGTCTCGCGAATCTAAAATATTTTCCTAATGAATAACAGGCAATATGTTATTTAAAAAGTAAGTATACGAATTATATTAAATGTATTATGTGAAAAATATAATCGACATAAATAAAGATTGTGTTCCGCAAAATAAATCGACCTAAACAGTGGCAAAACAAGTTCTTTTTTTTTTATACAACTTAGAATGGCAAGCAAGCTGACGGCCCACCTGATGGAAAGTGGTAACCGTCACCTATAGACATGAGCAGTACCATGAACATAACAGAGTATACTGTTTCGCCCATGATACCCCCCATGCGTTGCCATTCCTAAGGAGTGTTACTCCTCTGTACCCTGTAAATTCATTGCCATAAGTTATTTTGATTTCAGAACTAAACTACTGAATCGATTTTGATAACGTTTCTATGAGAACAATCTGTAAGTATGTCCTTTCAGATAAAAAAAAATATAAATCTATTTACAACTGATGCATTTACAAACATAAAAAAAACAACCGAATTGAGTACCCCCTTCTCTTTGATGTCGGTTGAAAAGACATTTTGTTTCTCGAGATAAGGATGTAAATAAAATCAAAAGCTCCTTATCTATTACTATAGCTGCGTAGTTGTAATACTCGTGACAATATGATTCAACGACTTGTATTTAATGTATAACATTCAAGAATTGTCCTGTTTTCTGTTTAAAAATATTATCTAAATAACTTCTTCTTGTAACATTTGTATGTGTGGATTTTGAACCAATGAAAGAGATTACATTTAAAATGTGTATCAGCATTATCATCATATCAATTGTTGTCATGGTCGAGAGATGGGCAGTAGCATCCCCCTTAAAATATCACCAAAGTCTAACTACGGTTGCCAATCCGCCTGCCAAGCGTGGCAACAACTGATAAAACTCCTCTTATGGGGAAGACCATTACTTAAAAGTGGACAATTAATGGCCAAAAATAATAACCAAATCGAATCCAGTAATAAAATTTACAAACAATAATCACGAAATAAATGATAAAATAAAAACCTCCCACCTTTTTAAGTCAGTGGATTTCTTTTCTCCATTTAAAGCAAAGAGAGCATAATTTCCATGTAAAGAATGCCCGAAAAGATAGCTTTTGGTGATAAAACCGCCCATTGTTTTATCTGGGATCCCTTTTTGTATTTTTTTGGTTTTGTTATTTTAATGTAATCACTTGGGTTAACAATAAAGACTGTTTAAATAACTCTAAATTTATTAAATTTCATTTGGCCAATTTGGATGCGATATATTTTAAAATGTCAACGCTCATTATTTATTTGTGAAATATCTTTTGTCTCTGAATCCGTCCTTGAATTTTGGAAATAGAAAAACTAATTAAATAGGTTTATAAATGACCTATTCAGATAAAACATATACTAGATTTTATGTTCGATATTCAGAAAGATAACTGTAAAAATTGCATCTAAATTTATACAGTAACTTTTGCATGATGCTGGAACAAATATACAAACAGACATGCATACAAACATTCTAAAAATTATTGTTCTGTCTTTTATACCTCTATAAAGATATACCAGTTTTCTTAAATACTTCCTCTGTGTGATAAATAAATACACTAGTTCATTAAATAACGGTTTTAATGATATTTTGTGGTTAGAAGATAATATTAAGTGAATGATAAGTTATGCATGTACGAGTAGGTACCTTCACGGTCTCTACGTATAGGGATGGTCATTAGCATCTTTATTACAGATATCTGCTGCCATTTAACGGGTATTACCATCCTCCCCCATAATACGTGTCACCTACATTGAAAGCAAAGTTAAGCTATTTATTCCTTTACTAGCGGTCCGTCCCGGCATCGCACGAGTGGACATTTTTACATTTTAAAAAGTGGCCATTAAAGCTGCACACGCGACGGAAGCTAAAAAATGGAGTAACTTCTCCCGTTTTCCCAACATTTCCCTTTACTGCTCTGCTCCTATTGATCGTAGCGTGATGAAAAATATACCTGCCCAGGAGTATGAAGAATAATTGTACCAAGTTTCGTTAAAATCCGTCGAGTAGTTTTTGTTTCTATAACGAACATACATACATACAGACAGACAGACAAAAATTTTACTGATTGTATTTTTGGCATCAGTATCGATCACTAATCACCCATCATTTCATGTACAGAATTGACCTCTCTACAGATTTATTATAAGTATAGATTAGTTTTGTTTAGATATGTTCATTAACTGGGACAAACGATATAAAAAGAGCACGTGTTTATCAAATTTTAAAACAAATAATTAATTCGATAATGCATTTAAAAGTAGGAAACAAAAGAATTCACTTTTACATTTATAATATTAGTAAGTGTTTTGAATTCACTAAGCGCGTGATTCTTCTGTCATCATTTAGAGTATAGTTTGAAAAAGGGTAAGGATAGGCTTTGTGTTTTTTTTTACAAAGATCTTAGTAATCATTGTTGTAGTTGTTGTAGTATTCATTAGAAAATCTTTATTGCAAGTAAATGCTTTTGTCATTTTCCCTAAGTTTCTTTCGGATATTTTTGTTGGCAATCTGACATTGCTTCTTATTTTGCTGAACCTATGGAATATTAATTACAAGAAGATAGAAGAAGATGAGCGATATTTATCAATACTATTGAAATATATTACTTCGGCATTGACAGTGGTATCTTCAAAAACCAAAATATTGGTGATTTAGGAAAAAGATCGAATTATCGATATTTTAGTTCAAGGAAATAGTAAACGTAGCGTCATAATTGGTGACTTACTATTGTTTATGTGTAATCAAAGGTGAAGAAAACGGTATTTTTGATCATCAAATTGTAAGGTTAAAGATAATATCGATATTAAAAAAATATCTATAGATACATCTGATTACGATAATATCAATCTTAGTCAACGATATTTCGACACTAATATCAATATTGCCAAAATATCGATATAAAATACGGATACTGCTCATCCCTACAATAAGTTTCTGTTCGAATAGAATTTTAATATTGATGTGACGTCGTAATCGTGGTTTTTGATCCCACTGGAATTCCAAAATAGAATTGATAATACTGTATGAGGGAAAAACAATAAAATTCAACAAAATGGTTGAATTATTACAAGAGATAATGTACTATATATTGAAATTAATTATTGATTATTTTTTTTTTTATTGTTGATAATGAAGTTGAGAGAAATAAAGTCATAGTAATATAAAGAAAACAATAATATTACTTTGTTATTAGATATACACGATATATATCTGTCTATCTGTCATATACACAAATCTATACATATAATAAAATTGTAGAGGTTGAATGTCTGTACATAAAAAAAATGCAAAATACCGAGTTAGGGGGATGTTAGAAGTGAAATAGAACACATCTAGATTTTTTCAATGTTTTTGTTTCTCTGTTTGTTCGTGCAGGTTACTTTCCAAAACTGTTGGACCGATTTAAATGAAATTTTACATGGTAGTATCCTATATCCCTGGTCAACATTTTAGATACTCTAACTCACGAAGAATTAAAGAGTTCTCGAGTGAGAACGACACGTCATTTATTAATTTTGGTCCAGTATTTCTAGACATAATAAATAAACAGGTACATACATCGATATATATGGTAAATAACAAACACCACACGGATAAAGTAGCGGGTATTAGCTAGTAATAAACAATTGTATTTACCTTTTTACAGCGGGCCAAAGCAACGATGGTGATCAGATTGCCCGGAATGCCAACCAACATGAACAAAACACAGCACACAGAGGCGAACCTCAGCAACGCTTCAGGGTAATCTTTGAATAGCTCAACCGCTGCAAGCGCTTCGTCTGTCTTGTACTCGTCCAGGCCAACAACACTCCAATTATGCACGTCTAGTTCACTAGCAAACGTGCTTTTAGGTATACTAGGTAGCAAGTCACCCATTTTAACTTTTTACAGCACATTATTTGTACAAAATTCACATGTAGGGGCCATTTAAGTGGCCGCGCGTTCGGCTTTGTCCGCGACTGACACTTTACTCCGGCCAAGTGTGTGTGTGTGTGCTTGTTGATAAGCCATTTCGATGCGCGAGGTTATCACCTCCAACTGCTCAGGAAGTGTCCGTATCACCGTCATGTTGCTCTCGTTGATATCTGTACAGATAAATGGGTATTGTTAGTTTTGAAGCGAAGAGATTTTCTACTATAATCAGTAGGTACTTGGAAGGTTATTTGAATTAATTAATTACTATACAGACTGATATATATAGATATATTTATTCTGTATATAAAATAATATGGTATAATAGTAATATATACCTAATTTTATATGTGGTAAAACGAGCGATATGGATATTTTAACACTTTGCAAAATAATGCAAGAAATAAATGACTTAGGTATCATAAAAAAACAAACTAAACCTATTACATAAATTCGCCACATGATATTGTAACGATGCATATATTATATTATTTATTTAACTCTTTATTGCACCAAAGACATAAAAATATACAGCGACAATTAGAAAATTTAAGTGAAATACAGTAGCATAAAGCACTCTCAATCTATTACAGACAACCTTTGATTAAAGGACAACAGATTAAAATTCGAACAGAAACATCTAGAAAGAAAAAATAGTATTATCAAATAAAACTTCATTTGAACGGCGTCATATCATAAGAGTTCCCAAGATAGGTATTTACAAATTAAACAAATATTTGTGTCAATATTTATACCACAGTTTATACACTGTACTGACGTAATATAGAATATTTACTTTTATTAATATCCTATTTAAGAGACTTTCAAAATGAGGGATTCCTCTGTATTGTTTGTATTGTTATATATAAATTTTATGTATATATATATATATATATATATATATATATATATATATATATATATATATATATATATATATATATATATATATCAAAATTGTATGAACTTTGTCGTTTCCGACGTGCGAGACGATACGCTGTGATGCAAAGAGTCTCCCCTTGAAAAATTCCAGATGAAGTCGAAATGATTGTTAGAAACGACAAACATTGTGAGCTCATTAAATTTCCGTTATACCTTTATATAGAAATCGCCTGTATTATTTTGTGCTTATGTTATGGAATCACCATCTATGAATCGATTTTGATTTTTTATGACCAATAGGATTTACTCTGTGTTGAGCCTTTTGTGACAAATCCGGTTCGAATTGAAGTGAAAAATGTAGTTGTGTGTCTACTTCCGCGTTATAATTATTTAATTTGTATTTTCAATCTTATGTTTTTATATTTATTAATATACCTAAGATATTGGTCTATAAATCGCTAAGTATTGTAGATATACTAGCTTGTACGCGCGAATTTGTCTGTGTGACCGGATATGTTCACTGACCGGAATAAAAACTAGTCTGTGTCCTTCTTCAGGCTCTATAATATGTCTGTACCAAATTTTATAGTGACTGATTAAGCTGTTAAAGTGGTTTTTTTAATGGATGACATGATGACATGGCTAACGATATACGCTTGCGGGGCAGTAAGGGATGATAGGTGTGACGAAAAGGCAGGTTAAGAAGCTCGTCGTAAAAAATACACCAGGGATTCAGCACGATAGTTTCCAGGAGATCACGTGGAGATCGACCTGACAGGGTATATTGCCAATAATGGGACTCGTAATCGGCATTACTACCAATTGCTTCCCATCCGCCGTTAAGGTATTAAGGTAACGAACAAACAAACTCACTTTAACATTTATAATATAAGAAAAGAATAAAGCAACTTTCAGCTTACATATTATAGGTACAGATTGTCATACATCCTATCATTGTGGTAATAGTTCCACCATTATTCACACGACTGTTTCAGAAGTTCGAAACGTTTGCCTTAGTCACGTCCTAATGCAAATAGATGACAGATGGAAGTAATTTGGGTTGAAGGGCCGACCACTCTGGGTAATCTGAAAGCTGTAGTTTCCCTGACATTGACTAATTGATTGTCAGTTTCGTCTGTCGTACAATCGACATTTCAGACAAGCGGTTTAACAATTTGCTTATAGTTCAATCAAATCATAATAGTATTGTGGCGTTAACTACTTTTCTAGTAGGTATATGAAAGTAGATTAGACGATTTTTTTTTAAATAAATTGAGTCTTTAGATATTTAACATGAATCATTAAGAGACTCAAATGGAGGATAAATAATAATAAACTGAATAGATGTAGTTCTCTTTATATAATCGTATCGTAAGAAGTAATACAAGATGGACTATGACAAGACAGAAAACAAAAGAAAATATAGTATATGTAGTCACCATAGTGGCCAGTAATACACCATATCATTATTCCTCCCCAATTCCCTCTTTTATGCGATCTTCTATAGTGTATTGCTTTTCGCATACGCAGTTCTCTGTTTGATTGCTGAATGGAACAATTTAGAAACGAACTTCTCAAGTTCCTTTTCGTTCAATTCCGCGATAACACGTTGAAATGAACTACAGACTGGAAACTAAGGTATTATGCGTTTGGTACTAATATATCTTACAGATGAAATTTAAACAAACATTCAAGCAAAGGCGAAAATCTTACTTAAACGTGACTTGTTTCGTGCGTTTTTATCAATTTATATATTGCTGTATTCTGTTCATATTGAAATAGATCCGTGGTCCCGTCTGAGAACAGGATACTAAACTACTATAACCGTGCGCCGTGGCATTAGATTCATTATTTTTAGTTTTTCCTATCTTATATTTAATTATTGTATCATCATTATATTAGCCGTTAATTATCCACTGCCGAACATAGATCTTCTTCTATTGGAGTGATTTACCAGTAGTTGCTTGGCAGGCCTCAGTTAGAATTTGGTGATATTTCAAGAATACGTTTCTGCCCATTATTTCGATTTTTAAATTATCTTAGCTGCCTCTTATGATACCCACAGGAATAGAGACGGTGGCCCATTCTATGCCGGGACCATACCTTTAGCTAATTTTAAATATTGTATCTTATTCCTTAAATACTTTTTCTGTGTGTGATTACTAGAGGGAGACTTTGTACAAAAGTCGATTGCTTGGGTACCTCTGTCCCATTCGTATTTCAATCGTGAAGCAGTTGTGTTTGCATGGCTGTGTTTCGGTTTGAAGGGTGGGATATGGCGTGAATTTACTGGGTACAGAGAAATAACACCTGAGTCCTCAGGAATGGCAACGCATGGGGGGTATCATGGGCGAAACAGTATACTCTGTTATGTCCATGATACTGCTCATGTCTATAGGCGACAGTTACCACTTTCCATCAGGTGGGCCGTTAGCTTGTTTGCCATTCTAAATTGTATAAAAAAAACACATTCTGCAATTATTATGTGGTCATAACGTCTTTTACATTAAAACAGTAATTCAAAAGTCCAGGCTACTGGGACACGTAAAATTAGGGAAAGCCCTAAAAGAGCACTTTGTGAATCTCATAAGGTCAGTGACAGTTATTAATGTTGACCCGAGAATGACGGCCATTCAATCCTCACCCACGCGCCACCTACCCTCGCATCGACTGCGAACAACGGTGACAATATAAACAAATGTTGCTAACACATGTTATATTGTCCTATTTCACAGCTTGTCAACTGCGACTCTATATACATATATTTACAAATATAGGTAGAGATACATAGTGCTTATACCTTAATTTTTTAAATTGTAGCACAACATGTGACTATACCATTCTCAGTGAACACACAGACATAATGGTCCATGAATATGAATAACCAAAATGAAAATAAATTACTTTCAAGGGTTGACCGCACTATGCCGACTCAAATTTACAAGGAACTGTTTTTTTCGGACATATATAAAATATATAAGTAGATCCCTAAAGTTTATAAAATTTAGGAATCCCAATGGATTAGACCTTGATTTTAAAATAACAAAAGAAATATTGTCAAAATGGTATAATATCGCTCATCTAGATAATTCATTATAAGATTTGTGACGAACAAAATATCGCTTTGTCTATGAGCTAGATTGCGACATGAAAGAATTTCATTGTACGCATGAAATTGAAATCCGAAACTTCAGAATTAATTTTCCCCTAATTCATGGGCTAGCGAGTCCCAACATGGATCTCATTATCATTTTCTATCAAGTGGAATGAAGGTCAATGGCAGAACCCTATATAGTAAAAAACTCTGCTAAAGTAATGTGATATATAGAAGCTGCTAAACCCTTTCAAAAATACCATCCACGAGTTTGAAGCCATTGTGTCACATCAAATCGCATGACAAATGGTCTTTACTAGTAATCCGCCACAGTTCCGCACGGATAGAGGGTTAGAAAGAGATAAGTATTTTATATTAGCTTTAAGTTAAATTCTTGATACTTTAAGTTAAATTATTGTAATATTTGTAGAGATATCAAATTGTTTTAAATAAGACCTTTATTACTCGCTAATAATGTAGCTTTATATAGGTGTAAGCATTTTTGAAATCAGAGTGTTTTTTGAGTTTACCCATTACAAACAAATAAACAAACAGTATATTTTATCAATAGGCAGTTTATGGCAGATGTTCAGCAGTGGACAGTTAACGGTTGATATGATGATTATGATGATGAAGAAAAAAGCTTTTTTTTTAATGAGTGATAATGGTATGGTAACCCTGCCTATGCTATCGGTATACACTGGTGGGGCATCAGTGATAGATGACTGATGAGGATGAAAGCAGGTCAGTTAGCCCGTCCTGATGATTTCAACTAGAATTAGCCACGATGGTTTCCAGGAGGAATCACGTGGAGGTCGACTTGGCAGGGTATATTGCTAGCAATGGGGCTATTTGACCCCATTACTAACAATCCCTTTCTCCCCAGAAAGAAGAGTGATGATAGTCTCATTATATCGACCTAGATCTGAAAAGTGAAATAACATAATAAATTTACTATGTCCAACTATATCCGGAGGCTAACCGGATTCATAGTAAGCAAGAGACAAAGATAAGTCAATAATGTTGGCCTCTGTGTAAAGGTTTCGTCCTAAACGGTAGCGTCAGGCGGAACCGGAGGAAACGTCGGATTCAATTTAAGCTCGCCCCAATAGCCGTCGGGTCGTTTTCGTGCCGTTTAGATAGTTGGTTGAACAGATTGATCTCCTTGTAGAGAACTTATGAAATTGTATTTACGAA